AAAAAAAATCCACCCACGTTCCATCTTCAGATTATCAAATTCCACATGATGAACATCATATCATTATGTTTTCACCCCAAAACGTCACTGTGTTTTGTGGAGCGTTTGGTGCGAACGCGGTGCCATTCCTCCTCCAAATGTGTCATGGTGGCATCCAAAGAGTCCAAAAACTTTGACTAGGCTATGTTTCACAATTGATCTGCAGCAAACATCAAACATGATTTTCCTTCTTCAGTGGAGTCTTGTGCATTGCACGTGCATAGAGACCATTTTATTTAAATCCATTACTTATAATTTTTGAGAATAACTTGACCTGCTAAGTCCAAGTCTTTTTAAATGTAATTTGCTTTGTCAGAAGAGGATATGATCATTACTGGTTTAAAAATAAAATGATGTTCCTCTCACTTTTATTAAATGCCCCCAAACATTGCTGACAAGATCATTTAGAAGTTCAGAAATAAGTTTGTAAACCAAACCAATTAGTATATTTGCCACATGGAGGTTGTGAAGATCTTGTGTGATACAATGGTGATAAAACCCCTTTTCATCAATTAGGACTAAATCAGCTAACACAAACATTTTGATTGATAAAGAGCAGAGTTTCTGTGTAAAAACTGAAACTAGTTTTGATTTCTTTGCATGCTTTTAGTTTACGTCTACCAACGTCTGGAATGAATTACAATGTGATAGGCCCATTATGCATTTATCTCCTGACAAAACGCCGACCAGTGTCAATACTTATTTTCCCTGCTATACGTCATTGATACTTGAAAAATACGTATTTTACAGAATTTTTTTTTATTTTCTCAGTGTCTTTATACAGAGTATATTCATATAGTTTCTGCTGACTATTTTCACATTCTCACCACAGAGTAACAAGTGCTTTGAGTAAAACATCTAAAGAAAAGAAAAAACCAAACCAAACCAAAAAAAAAAACCAAAAAAAAAAAAACCCATGCACCTTTTAATAGCTTTGTCGGCCTAAACAAAAACAAACAAACAAACAAACAAAAGAATAAACAGGAATGTTCAAGGCGACCAAAAGAATCTTCTTCAGGCGTCTTCGTTCCGAGTCATTTGAGTTCCCCTCGATCAACGTTTTTCCCGACTAATCGAATCATGCCTACGTTAAGCTTTACACCGTGGAGTTAGCAACACAAAACCATACAAGGGGCAGGCAAGCGTCTCAACACAAAGGCTCCTTAAAACCTCATGAGTCCACAGAAGAAAGGCAAGCATTCTCCAATAAATTATAAAACCCCCAACATGTATAAAAAAATGTTGACGCTGGGTTGACAAGGGTTTTTGGGGGGTTAGGGGAGGATGCCAGTGGACTGAGCAGGTTCTTGGAGAAGAGGGTGGTCCAACCCTCCCTCGACAACTCTTTAACTCGACGGGTTATGGGGTCCGGTAGTCCGCCCTGGATTGCGTCCTCCCTCTCCTGGGACAGGCTGCTGGGGCTGTTTGCATGTCTGCGATTGGGCGAGGACAAAAAAAAAAGAGGTGGGCAGGGCTGGTCTGAGGATGACGGGGGAAACGACAGAGCGCGTCGCCCCCGTTGTACTGCACAAACAGCAACCAATCCTGAGATAGCAGGAGTCTGATACAAAAACACACCACAAAAGGCACTTTATAAAATGACAGTGCTTCTGTTCTAAGGAAATTCAAGTTGGCAAAGAGTTAAAGAGAGAGTCGGTGAGCGCCCCTTCCCCCTCTTTCCCTCCCAAATAAAAACATTCTCTTCAGTGTGAGACTAAAGCCGGAGATAGTTTTGTTTTCAACAATCAATCAAAGCACAAAATTCACTACTCATGTGTCTCGCGGCCCGCCTTGATTCGTCCCCGGAGGAATCCAGGTCCAGCGTGGCGAGAGAACGGAAAAAAAAAAAGGAGAAAAACTGAAAATGTCACACTACAAACTCGGCACTAAAAACCATAAAGCCAGAATACAGTTGCATTGCAGCGGAGTTCACGTCTGCGGGCTCGGCCGACTACTGCAGCCCGTGGAAAAGAGTCCGTTCCTCTCAGGTCTATTCGTGTTGTCAGGTGCTTTACATCCTCTTTCGACCGTTCCTGCCTCTCCAGACCCCTGCCACAGCCCCCCCCCCACCACCACCACCGCCCGCGCCCCGCTCTCAGTCGTCCTCTCCTCCCCCGTAGAGGTCTGCCAGCTTCTTGAAACGAGGACCCCAGTCGTTGAGGTAGTCGTAGTCCTGGTCTCCTGAGCTGGTGGAGTTGAGCGAGCTGACGGAGCCGGCGGTCGAACCGCTACCCTCATAGTCGAACACCAGCAGAGAGTCGTACGGTGGAGCGGTGGGGTCGTTGTCGGCGGCCCTCAGACCCTGAAGCCGTAAAGAGAGAAAAAGGAAATTGCTTATGTGAGGCCAGAGCTCGCATAAGCAATTTGTGCTTAGTTTTGCTGTGAAAACAAAACTAAATCATTAGGAGCCTTTCTGGAATGGCAAAAAACCTGAGAGTTGGTCTTTCTAGAGGAGCAAAACGCAATTTTTCAATTGTGATGTTTCCATTAATTCAATTCAATTTACAATTATTTAATCAAGGATAACACAGTAAACAATGTTGCATGATAAAAACAAGAAACTGATGTTTTTTACTTGTTTTCTAGCCACAGAGTAATTTACAAACCCAGGCCTTGGGTGGCCGAACTCAACACCAGGCCCTGGTGGAACTTTTTGGGTAGAAGTTTGTTGCCGTTTCATGCAGAAATACAGTTCTATGACAATGTTGATTTTTCTCTTGAGCTAGTCCACTTCCGCTATCCATTTTTTTGTATTCACATGAGACATGACTACTTTTTGTGGAACAAAAACATTAGAGAGAATTATGTACATTTATATGGTTCTTCAATAAGTAACTTCTTTTTAGCTCCATTTGCCAGACAAGAATGGCAAATGGCTAAAAACTCCTGGATGGTAGTTGTAACGCTGTTGTTCACAGAGGAGGCTGTGTGTAGAAAAGTGTGGTAGTTTCTCTGTTTGAGTTTCCATTAGCCTTATAATTGCACAAATTGAAATTATGAAAATAAATTAGCTTAATGGAACCATGGCAATTTCGAAAAAACTAGTTTTTCCATAAAAAGTTTAAAAACGTCTTAGCAATGATGGGGCTGTTTTCCGTCCAAATCAAAATAGATGTGTTTCACAAAACTACAATGGAAACACAAGTCACATGCCCACAGCCGGATGTTACTACTGGCAGAAACGACAAAAAAGACAACAGGAAGTAGGAGGATGACTTTGCTTTTGTTATTTTTTCAGCGCACAGTTCGTAAAAAGTTGTCATTTGAACATGCCGAATCCAAAGCTCTTCTGTAAAATCCCAGACTCCAATTTCCCCAAAATAAGGAGCTTCCTGCACTGACGGCTGAAGAAGACTTAATTTTATGATCTACAACTACCATTCCAAGAGAACAAGAACATCTGATGTTGTTGCTGGATGTATGCTGTTAACCCATGCAGACGCATTTATACCAATGTTTAAAAAACCAGAACATCATTTCCAAAGCATTTCCGTCAATACCCCACCAAGGTATTACTCCTTCCAGCACCTCATAAGTCAGAAGTGGAGACAGAGAAATCCCACACATCTATGACTACTTTAAAACGGCAAAAGCGTCTTGCTCTTTGTAAAAAAAAGATTATCGAGAAAAAAACAGTGCCGTAATCCCGATTGTTGGCTACTCAAAATTTAAGGTACATACATTTCCCACCTTCTTACTCTTTGGCTGGAAATTATTTCTGGGTCTTGTTCATGCTTTTAAATCCTGCTGCTGGCCAGTGACACAAACTACTCGTCATTACTATCTCATTCCCAGGACCAACCACGCCAGCTTGATGTAGCACAAGTACCCTCCTGGCTGCATAGGTGCTTTCAAAAGACACACTGAGATGGCAAAATGCTCTTTGCCACTTTGGAGTTTTTTTTTTTTTTTTTTTTAAAAGTGCTTATCCTTCAAATGCATTAAGGATATTCAACCCCCAACGGAAGCCATATATTCTTCATGTCCAAATTACTTACTTTTTTCAAACTCAAATTTCCAAACTACTCAGTCCTTTTAAGCCCAGTTTTAAAGTTTAAATACGAGACCTCACTTTGGATGTGTGCAAGATTTTCTTCAAAACATTCAACCTGCTAAAACCAAAGAGAGGGAAGGAATAAAGGAGAACTCTGAAGATACAAATCTTTACTTTTCTTGTCTGATTTTTGTCTTTTTCTGCACCTGTCCAGCCCTTAAAAACAGACCAAACAATCCAGAATCCTGGACTGAGAACCTTTTCTCCTACAAGAGTTTTCCCTGTGAAATACAAAAATGAGGGTTTTCAGGAGCTGGTTTTCCAGCTGGGAAAGTAGATTCAGGGGTTCAATTGACTTTAAAGAATGTGGTAAACTCCTCTTCTCTGGCTCACCCACTGGGAAGGCTTCTAATGATCCATCATCGGCTGAAAGCTGATTGAGAGGCAGAACAAACGCCTCCACCAGGAACGCTGCTGGCAGAAACTCAACTCTCACAACAGAAGGAAAATCGCTTTATGTTAGCCATAAACCGTTATGACGGCATAATTAGTCTTAAGTATAAAAACAGGTGCCCACCATAAAAACATGGATGTACGATACATTTTTAAGTCATGGATCCCAGAAGACGTTGACAGAAGGTGTCAACCTAAAAACCTACGTCGTTTATGAAGTCTCCTATGTCCCCCGGGTGGGGCATGCTGGGTCTGACGGGGTACTGCGACTCAGCAATCACAGGCCTCTCATCGACCCGGCGCACCCCCGTTGGCTTGCTGATGATGTGGTCCAGAGACTCTGGCTGCTGCAGCTGGCTCAGGTCGTAGTCCTGGATGAAACGACCAAAGAGAGAAAAATTGAGATTAAAATCGGTGAGGAGGATTGGAAAAAATCACAAAGATACAACAATCAAAGAATTCTTCGTGAAGAGTACATATTCAGTGTCAAACTGAAATCTGGCCGTCCATGCTTTTTATTTGGCCCTCTAGACTCAAGGGGGCACAGGAGGTGACATACACTGAATCTTCAAAATAACAGTGTTTAAATATTATTTTATCAACCAATTAAATCAGTCCCTCTTGTGTTTTGTGATTCCGAGATTGTGGAACTTCATGTAAAATCAGCAGATCCCCCACATTTTGTTGCACTAATGCGCATTTTGTTCTCAGTTTATGGCAAATTTTCCAAAAAATAGTCAAAAACATTGAGTTTAAGTGACCAACTCCCACCTGCAGATGGCAGTGTTGCTTCGGCTACACTGCTGCCTCAGCCTTACAAGCAATCATCTGTGATCGCCATGGTAACGAAAGTCAGACGTAAGCGGAAATTTCGCTAGCATTTTTTTGTACATATCTCGATAGTTTGAACACAAAATCTATGATTTTGATTATAAAAGAAAGTCACAAAAACAATCGTGAATTCCTGGAGATTGAAATGAATGTGAAAAGATATATAATAATGATTTATCTTTAAAAGGTACTTATTGGGTACAGACACAGATTTATATTAATATTTTTAATAATTTGTTCATGACTGTTTTTTTAAATCAACACATTTTTTAATGATCTTGATTTGGCCTAAAATCAACCGCTGTAGAGTTTACATTAAGATTCACTCTTCTGGTTGGAAATCCTTCCAATCTTTTAGTTTTCTTGTCCTTCCGTCGTTTGCTCTTTTAAAACTTCCTTTCCCCCCACTATTTAACTCAAAAGAAACAGAACAGGCTATTTGTCTCTTTACTGTTATTTTACATATAATTCATAAATATACCCATTAAATCTTCATCCATGCACGTCGGTGCAAAGAGGCCTATGAGGACCACAACCATCTGCTGCGCGTGTTTTTTTTTACTCTCCACATATCGATGTGTGTAGGTGTTGGACATAAGTGAGAATCAAAACAACATTTATTTATTTAACTGTCTGCTCTGAATTGAGCTCTCTGGGGTTCAGGGACTTTAATTACGTAGAAAATAGCCAGGCTGTAGAGAACAAAGGAATATGCAGCTTCACGTCCCTAAACTTCAACATTTTCAGCATAGCATAAAAATGCCTGGAAAGACATGGTTGTCAATCAACAAAAGTATGACACACTTTTTAGATATTTGTTTAAACTTTGTATTTCGCATCGTACCTAACAAAAGGCTTTACAGACAAAAAAAAAAGCAGACCTTATCTATGTTTCGCCTTTACGTTGTTTTCTTTCACTTTTATTTTATTTCCTCTGTGGTGAGCTTGAAAATAACGATACTGGATTTTTTAATTTACATAAAACTTTCTTAACCTGCACAACAAATCAGAATTAATAAGATGAGGTTTTGTGAAGAAAAAGAACCAAAAAAAAAACAAAAAACCGCATGGTGTTTATTCTGCCTGAAGAAATCAGCAGGAATCTTAAGCTTGTCAGTGCCTTTTCTTTTCAGAACCCAAATGGCTGCTGGTTCATGCTGAGGTACCAGGAATACTGCCAATACAGATCATGATCAAAACCCTTAAACAGACAGAATGGCGCTATAATTATCCCTGCGCAGATGTAGAAGCTTTTGTAAAAAGTTTGAAGGTTTTGTATCGTTCCAAGAGATGAGAGCAGAGATGCTTTGTGAAATGTGTGAAAAGCTGCTTTGTGATAGTCATTAAGGTCATAAATCCCGCAAAAACGGTTTCAAACGGCTCATTGCACTACGTCAGATTTATCATATGCAGTTTTTGTCGGCTCTTCGCGCCGTTTCCAGCAGTCGACCGAGGTGGGAAAAGAAGCACAAGCGTGTTCATGCGTGTTGACCTTTTCCAACAGCTTTCTGCGAAACTCAATAAAAGTGAGACATTGTTAATATGAGCTCAATCTGTGCTTTATCTGCGGGAGGTTAACGCAGTGCATGAATGTGTTGAAACGAGTGCGTTGATGACAGCAGTTCATTTTAGTGGAAGAATTTAAACTTAGTTTTTTTTCTTTCTTCCAGATAAATGAACTAAGCGAGTTTTCCCTGGAGATATTTAATAGCCTCCTGCTGAGTAATAAACAGGCTTTTCTTTAAGTCTATGTAGTTAAAAACGGCAAATACTCCTTGGCTTCAAAGCGCGAATTAGGTGTTTGCTGAAAAAAACATATTTTGGCTTTAAAAAAGTACGAGTTTTAATATCGTCATCTGCCTAAAATAATGGCCAAAATAATTTTTTGCCAAAAGATCATTTAGGCAAAAATTGACATGGCCCCTTATTTTAGGAATGTACCAAACACATTCATAGGGTGCTGCACAAACAGACAAAGATGCACATACTTTTTACAAAGCATTAACAGTCATTTACTTCATAAGTAAGATCAGTCAAAATGAAATCAAACATTCCTGTATGGAGAAGGCACACTTCTAATCATTAGCACCCAGGGAGAAAATGCCACACCATCATGTATCCTCCTACCATGTAACAACTGTTAAACATCTAGACTTTTGTACACTTTGCTCCGGTGTAATCGGAAACACCGTTTATGTCACAGTGGTATAAATCATATCGCGTGAATTCAGGCAAAGTTGGCGATTTGATCAAATCAACAAACACGTCAGGAGGAAGATGCTGTGGGTCGGTTTCTAAGCTGGCTTCCTCCAGCTCTTGTAAACACCACTGACTATGAGCCCCAAATGGCTGTGCTACTTCCACGGACATGAACAAGTAGAAGCCGTGCCTACATCAGCAAAAACAACTTGGGAAAATAATTGTAGTTGTGCCACTCAATACTCCCATTCCTCACTGCCACGGCGCCTCGGTGACATTAGGTGTTGCAAAAGGTCAATAATTACAGTTAGATCACAATTTAACTGCTGCTGTCTTTTTGTTACAAAGGTGTGCCAAACTTTATCGATTTTCCGTTATTATTGAAAAAAAAACACGATTTCGCGAAAGTGAATAAGCTTGTTCACACAAACATCATAATCCCACCACTTCCTGTCGTCGTCTTCGTCGTGTTCCGGCAGCAGTAACATCCGGTTGTTGATCACATGACAAGTGTTTCCATTCCTTCAAGTTTTGCAAAACATACCAACTTCGACAGCTAAAAAAACACCTCATCGAGTTTTTTTCAAAATGGGAACGATTCGATTAAAAGAATCTATTTTGTGATTCCAATTTGCACGATTTTATGGTAAATGGAAATGCAGTTTGTGATAAACGGATAGAGACACCCAGTCCTGATTTATTGCCCAACCTGTAGAATCAAGGAATCAGTTAAATAAAACCCGCCTGACGACATGAAGCAGGCCTAAAAGTCTCAACACATCATAGCCCTGATCTAAACAGGTACCATGATGAGGGGATCATCAGTGTTATTCTCTTCACTTGTCAGCGTTGTGTATCGTCATACCTGGTTTGTGTATATCTGTAGTAATCTGTCGTACCTGGTCTTCCTCTCCGCCTCCCTCTTCGTCATACTTCAGGATGTTGTCTCTGACGTCGTCCTCTGGGTCGATCAGCAGGGGCTTCGCTTGCCGCTCCTTCTCTCTGCGCTTCATCCACACCACGAACAGCAGAACCATACCTTCCGAAGGGAAAAAAACAACAAAACAAACGACAACAATCAAATCTCAAATTCATGTCAGTAGCAGCCATTCTAGAGAGAAGCACTCACTCAGCAGTATGATGATGCAGATGAGGATAGCGATGATGGCTCCGGTGCCGAGGCCAGCAGCCGCCACCGCCCCCGTGGCACTGCAGTCCCCGTTGTTGTCGCAGGGACACACTTTGATCCTGATCATGGAACGGTTGGACAGAGGCGGGTTCCCCGAGTCAGACACTATGACCGGGATCACGTAGACGCCTGCCTCCAGGTAAGGAATCCTCAGCCTGAGCTGAGCGTAGTCGCCTGCCGAAGTTGGACAAGGAAAGTGGGAAGAGGGAAGACGGAATAAGACATCTTTTAAAACGTAAACAAACCTTTGTTTACATCACACGCGTGAGTGCACGGCATCAGCCGCTTCAGCACAAGCAATCACTTTGACGTGTATGGCTGAAGGCAGAAAAGGCAGAAACATCTAAAACTACAGTGTGTAACCTTCAGCATCTATCACTCAGCCTCAGACAAGAGCCTCTGTGGGAGTCGGATCCAGGTATGTGATCAGATTTGTCCTCAAGACAGCTGCTGTGATGCATCCATCCTGTTGGATTAGGTGACAGATCGGCTGCTCGGGGGACCGCGAGACGAATGGATCTCATTTGTCACAAACGATAGATCGTACGTCAGGGCTGGATGGCACCCGTGTTCCTCACTGCGAGCTTTCCGAGACGTTTTGTTAAACTCGGACCTTCCCTCTCACTGCCTACAGCCGCCACCGCCTCCGATCCTGAAGATTAATACAGCCAGAATTTGTTTTTTTGCGCCACGCCAGGAGTACGGTTTGTAATCTACTGAGGACGGAGGTTGTCCATCTTGCACTCTCTCTCTCTCGCCTGCTTTATGTCCCAAGGGGTCCACTTTCACCACGATCTCGTCTTAAACAGCGTGCGGCGTTTAATTACCGCTCAGTCTGGAGATGGTCCAGTTTCGGCGGATGCTGGCAGGAAACGAAGGCAGCTCAAAGACGAACGGCCCGACGTTGGGCTCGGCGTCGGCGTCCGAAGCCGTGATGTTTATTCTGGAGTTGGGCCGGGCTCGCTCGCAGATTTGCGCCTCCTTGGGTATCAGCACGGGAGCGTTGTCGTTGACGTCAATCAGGTAGATCTGGAGCGTCCCGGTCCCGCTGGCCTGCGGCGAACCTGTGGGAGGGAGGAAAAATGGAAAAGACGACCCCTTTAAAAAAAAAAAAAAAAAAAAAAAAGAGACTGAAGAGTTCAGATGGAATGACATGACACTGGGGAAGAAGAAGAAGAAGCAGCAGCAAGGACTGCTTCCTTTTCAGACGCATAGTTGCAGCTGAGTCCTTAGTTGAACTGAGAAAACACACAAGGAAGGAAACAACGAGGGAGACGATGTGTTGTGTCTGCTAAGGGGGTGGAAGTGCAGGGAGGATGCATGAAATCCAAACACACGAAACAAATGAGTGGACACAGCCAGCAGATGTTCCCTTTCTTTGTCTTTATAATTGCCCTGAAAAGTTTGAACTGTCTGAGGTGAGACTCTCATAAAGATTTCTGTTATGTGCTCTTTGCATATCCCCCCTGAGAAATGAGTCAAACACTAACCTTTCAAAACAAGCTCGTCATTATAACCACTTCAGGTATGGTTCTCAATGCCAGGTCAAAGCAGGACCAATTTATTCTCTTTCTTTTTTGGGGGGGTAGTTTTCCTGGCTGCTAACAGGAAAAAGTGCTCTTGAACTGAATAAGAAATATTGTTTGCTGCTGTTTAAAGTTGGTTCTGCTGAACATGATACAGGAATGAAAGCCTCTGGCTTCTTTCCTATCAGTAAAACTTCAAAGCATCAAAATTAGGCTGAACTCTACTGTGAAAGTAAATATTTTACACAGGGGCCGAAAAAATTTGTTGATAGCCAACCATAGCCACCTTGGTGTAAGTCAGGGGTTAGCAACAGAGCTCGACTCCAACTAATTTGTTGAAGTCGGGGCAAAAAATTGTCAAGAGCTGCTGAACCTGCAATAAAAATAACTTTACAGTGTAAGCAAACTTAGCGTGAAAGTACAGAGATTTGGGATTGGTTGATTATTTCTTCGTCAGTGCTTCTGGGCAATACATTTTCTACCAGTGTAAAGATTATTTTTTTTCATTTTAAATACTGCCACATTTGGAAGGAACGTGGATTTACGTGCTCAGCAGTGGAGTTAGGTAAGTGAGTTGCATCCATGTATAACAACTTTTTGCCAAGCAGAGATTTACTGAGATGAGACTCAATAAGCAGTGGAAATCTCAGAAACCGAATCCTAACCTCAACCCGTTCTCATCGCCCTTTACAAAGTCCAGGAGAAAAATTATGCATACAGGTTCAAAGATACTTGTGTATCTATGAGCCTATCAACAAGCTACTGTGGCATTATGCTGGCTGGTTGAATTTGCGAATCTAATTCTGCAGCTTCATCTTAACAGCAAGACACCTGAAACTTTTAACATGACTGGTCGTCCCAACAAGACAACGACCACAAACACAAATCCATAGTGGCTTTGCAATGGACTTCTGTTCCCTGATTGGCTTGGTTGTGATTCAACCGGAGAAATCTAACTCAATGGTAGAAAACCTAGACGCAGACCTAGAGAGATGATTGTGTATGAAGGCAATGGTCATGCTATTGGTAGGGTAACCACTATCAAAAAATAAATAAATACATAAATAAAAAAAATAAGCAGAGAGGGGCAACATGCTAAGGGTATTTTAAACAAATATTAGTGTGGTATATGTATATACCAGCCTATAATTACAATTAAAATTTGAATTTGATAAGGGTATTTTCATTCCATCCTTTAAAAAAATAGCACTGGAACTTCATTAAAAACATTAACATATATAAAATATATTTTCCTGATGAATGTCCCAAGCAAGGGACTGAATATGTGCCGAACATTTTCCCGTCTTTGGCCGGTTGTATCCATGAGTCCACATACAACAGATTAAATCTCCACTCTGCAGCCTAAAAGAGGACACAAGCAGGTAAGAGGGATAGAGACTAGCCTGTCTGCTCTGAACCCAGGCTGAGGTAAGACGGTCTGAGGCAAAGTAGAACAATCTTGTCCCATCGATCCAGATGAGAAATCCTGTCTGGATGTCTGGGAGGCTGTGCCCCTCCAGGCCGAGGAGGAACAGAACCATCCGGCTTGTTATCGCCTCAAAACCGGCATCTGTGTTTACACTGTATGGTGGCGCATTAGCACACAAGTGCAGCTTTTATAACCTGTAATGGCACCATTACTACTAAAAAATAAATACAGTAGCTCACGAGCAACAAACGCCGAAACCCATGTTTATGTCTTTTTCATAGACGCTTTGCATTTTTAAGCGAGACGACGTCAAGCTGCACTTGCACTTATGCCAGCTGTCTTCCCGCTGCACCGGCCTGTCTGCGTTCAAGCCGTACCAGCGGTGCTGAAAATATCCAGGACTTCTCCGTGTAAATAATGAAGGAGCCACAAATCGCTAAGCACCAGAAGTCCTATCGATTAAACATGAATGGACAACATTTTCCTTTTAATTCTACAACTTCTCTCCTCAACTTCTGCTCCCGAAGACGTGATGCAACACAATCCTATCTCTTAAAAAAAACAAAAAACACTTCCAGGAGAAAATATAAAATATGGACATATTGTCTACATTTCACTCTGGATCCAAACTTTTGAAAGATAGGAAGAAATTAATGAGAACACTCCTGAACCATATGCCATGTAGAAGAAAAATCAGTTGATCAAGCAGGTTTATTTGTGTGGCATATCTGAGCAACAAGGCACTTCAAAGTGCTTTACATCATAAAAATACAAAGATAAAAAGTCACGTACACAACATTCAGTCACTGATTGAGAAACCAGGAACAAACGTTACGTTTTGTCGAGTGGCACCGTCAAAATCATCAATGCCCATCCAATATGTTGGTCGATGTTCCAGTGATTTTGGTTCAAAAGCAACTGGAAGCAGCTGGGTTTTAGAGGAAAGATGGTCCTATAAAGCACGTGTCAAACACAAGGCCCGGGGGCCAAATCTGGCCCGCCATAGCTTTTTATGTGGCCCCTAAACACTTCAGAGGTATGCATAAATAGATAAAGATCAAGATAACAGTTGTGTGTTTAGATATTAAGTTAATCAAATGAAAGTGATTCCAAGCTGTTTACTGACAAATTACATCAGTCGATACTTCCAGTTTTACTGCGATCGTGAAAATTAACACAAAATCAACAAATCACGTTGTTTTCTTATGCTTGTGCCTAACAGAGTCTACTGGAAATTTTCCAGAAAAATTTTCAAAAACAATGGTTTTAAGTGATGCCAACTCCCACCTGCAGGTAGTGGTATGTTTTACTGCTACACTTATTTGCGAGTAATAAAAAAAGTCACATTTTGCAGAATTTCTGGCAAATATTTTGAGACTATGATCTTAATGTGTCCCAAAATGAAAACGAGTTTGACGCCCCAGCTATAAAAGTATAAACTCAAACGAGCTGAACCCAAACGCAAACAATTTGAAAATTAATGTGTCCTTTTGAGTTCATATCGCAATAATCACGGGTTGGTTTGTATTGGCTTAGTACAACCCCCCCCCATCCCCCCCTCCAAAACAAAACGGGATAAGACATATTTTAGGTTATGCACGACAAAATGTGGAAAAAAGTGAATTGCGTCTTACTGCTTTTGCAATGCACTGTGGGCACACTGCACTGTTGAACAAACAGTGATTTATTGTGGCCTCGGCTCCTTTTTTGTTGACGGCTACCTCCGAGCAGTCTGTCAGCAAGCCGATGTAAATTCCCAATGAGGCGCAGCACACAGCGTGCTCCAGCAGCTCATCAGTGTTTTTCCTATGAACTCCTCTCCGCTGCACGCCGCAGCCTGGTGCATCAACTTACAAGCAAAGGTCCGCTGCCCGGCGCCCCGAGGCCCATCGACTGTCTTGTCGGTTAAGATTGGCCGGGTGCTTTGTTGCCGCTCACGCTTCGCTTGAGTAGAATAAGTGAAGAGAATTTCAATCAAAGTGGAATATATCCCCTTGTTGACACCGGTCTCCAGAATCAATAGACAGTCAACAACTTTAAGCTGCGCCTGGCGTGCTTAGGGGCGTCGAATCCCTCATTTCTCACCGGAGGAGAAAAGAAAACACCTGGGTGCCTCCTACTTCAACACAGAGCGAGTTACTGTTTGCCGAGCTTCAGTCATTTGTCTTCATACGGAGCTGCAGCGGCTGAGGTGGATGCTGAGGACGCTCACCGGCAGCTAATGGGTTTTCTTTTATTATTTTGACCAAAAAGTGCTTGAACACGTCTTCCCCGTTTGACTTTTTCCACATAATGTCGGGTTAACACAACCGCCAGCTTCAGTGTGTTATTGGGAATTTTATTGCTGAACATAAAGTGGTTAAAAGGCTTTCGGATCCAAAATCCAAAATTTAACTCCATGTAAGATATGCAATATGAGTCTTACTTCTACAAAAAATCTAAGACAATGTTCTAATTTATTTTTATCTGTACTTGTGTTTCTTCTTTATATTTTTCACCTACAAACTCATCCTTCTCTATTCAGCCACATTACCAGAAAATGTTACAGAAGTGACAATTGCCCAGATATGTTTTACAGATGACGTATTCTTTCTGAATCATCTTAAGGCTTCTTTTTAAAAAAAAAATTCCGGGGTGGGGCAAAGTTCAGTTGCACTTTTCAATTGTCGACACACAAAAGAGCCCTCTGTATCTGTGAGCCTGGATAATGACATGTCCGTCTCCCGTGGCGAGTTCTGCACATGTGAAGAGATTTTTTTTTCTCTGTGATCTTCCACCAGTGTTTCTCACCCGGGCCTTGTTTCCTCACACAACTCTGCACAGATTTTCTTATTTTTCCTCTCTTCTGTACCCAAACAGCTGCTTCGGCCTTCCGCTAATGATCCCGCTGTCTCTCAGATTAATGTGTTATATTTTGCCACATAAGGACAGCCTGATTATTAGGGCGGGTTCCTTTGCGTGTTCTGGGTTTATAGTGCCGTCTTCCAAATGCAAATGGCAGCAGTATCGGCGACCGTCACGTTGGCTGTGTGACAAAATACAACTTCAGTGATCCAGTGAAACTTTTTACTGATACATAGTTTAAATTTGATCTGGCTCATGTAATATATCTCTCTTTGCAAATGGCATAAATGTTCCACAACGAGCAGAATTTGTTCTAACACCTCAGTTAGTCTGACCAGCTGCAGCAGCCCAGACAGAACATGGAGGTCCGCCAACGTTGTTGTTGTTGTTGATCTGCGCCTGAGGGCGTACGCACAAGATGACTTGATTGAGTCAACATTTCCAAATGTTTTCAGTCTACGTCACGGACAAGATTCCCATCACGTTTCTAAAAAAGTTTCACTCTGGAGCCCGTTTGTCAAACCTCGGAGTTTAGGTCCGGCTAAATGCTGTTGCTGGCTAAGAGGGGCCAGAATGCAACAAAACGTTTCTGTCTTACTGTCCTGGCATGGTCACGTACAAACAGGGTGTTATACTTTTTAAAAAGTTGTCTGCTTGGAAATACTGTGAGAATCAGAGTGGAAAGAAAAAGCCTGGATGTTGAAGCTAAGGAAAAAGTACAACTAGCATGCTAACGGGCTCGTCTTCAATGCCGCCAACCACAAGTTAGCTAACCAAGCTACTGGATCAACAAAACTAGCTTGTACCAGTTTGTCAGACTGTGATAATATTCTGTCCACCCCTGATGTCACTATCCACGGTGAAGTGAGTTTTACATCGACATGGACAGAAAAGGCGCTAAAGAAGAACCTCGTGCTCCGAAATCCAGAATCACAAAGTTTGACTGAAACCTTCGGTCGCTAGCATCCGATCGGATTGTGGGAAACGAAGGACTTTGTCACGACAAATGTAGGAAATCAAAATGCTCGACTATGAAATCCAACTCCACAGCCAGGTTGTGCAGCGTGTGCACGGCTCACTGAACACACACAGAATGCCAGCGTACGTGGAAACCTTGAAAAAGACTGAGCTGTCTGGTCACGATGGAATGAAGTATGGCTCATCGTAGAACCTCGCAGAGTCTATGTCTATTTTACTGCTTGTATTCATTCAGGTGACATTTAGGGCTTGTGACCAACTGTCTCTACATTTGCGCCTTATAGGTGTAGTTTTTTGCTCGACTAGTAAAATCTGGCCTAGATTAAGGAAAACGGCCAACATATTGCACTGGTTTGTGCGAACAATGTTTTTAAAATTCACCGAGTTGTTTGGTCGGTGATCATTCAGCCATGAAAAAGGACGATTCACACAAATAATTAAAAGTCAAGGATTAATATTAATATTGCTATGCAAGTGTGCATGTAAAGCTTTTTGAAAAGCTGCAAATGCTTTTTCATCTGTACCTCTTCATATTTATGAAACAAACCGTCCGTCTTCATGCATATTCCATGCCGCGTCCTATTCAGAGCGTTTCTCATCCCAAGGTTTTATTCCGCAGCTTTTTATTAAATGTAATCTGGGTATTTATTTCTTTAGCTAAATTCAAGGTGTGCGGGGGGGAAAAAAAGCGTGCTCCGCTCACTGCACACATTTTAAACCTCCCCTGGGGCAAATCTGGGATGTTTGGCTTTTTTTTTTCTAAATTAAACTGTCTTGACATGATTTGAAGGCTGCTTCCCAGCCCGCACAAGCGACGGAGAGACGCAGATCCGGTGTAATTTCCCCACAAATCCACCTTCCATCTTAATCCTTGGAAAATTTCTAAACGATCCTGCCTAAATAGTGAGAAAATGGGTTATTTGATTAAACTCTGATCCACTTAGTCCTTTGATTCTGAACAAGAAAAGCAGAAAATAAACCTCTTTGATATGTTTATCAAAGGAAACAAGCAAGATCCTACAGCATCCAAGCACCTCGGTATGGCTCCGCGGGAGGGCTTTGAGCTAAAAGTAGCATTTTGACCCTATAAAATGTTAAAGGCTCAGCAAAGTGGTAACGGCTCATCTTGATGAGTGCTAAGTGTCATGGAAGTCCATCAATGCTGCATGAAATGTCCTGGGGGGGAAACAGCTCTAATGGCAGCCTCATGATGGCACTGCAGGAAAACAGAAACATGCCTACGGGAGTCGTTTTTTAAAAAACTGCTTCGCCGAACTTCATGGGAATATAACAAATGTGTGTCAGACTGTCATTTTCCAGTGAGACACACAAAGTCACAGACTGACTGACACACCTTGCAAAGCCATACAAACCCTTTAGAAATGTTAGTTTTGCTGCCACGTTTAAAGTAATTTATTGGGATTTTGTGTCAGCATAAAATGGAAGGAACCGGATATGTGGATTTTTGCAAAGTGTGCCGTGCGTCGCTGTTCACATAACCAACTGAAAGTGCAATTACATTAGAGCTGCTAGTGTTTCCGTCGGATCCAAATCCACTTTAAAATCTTTCGACGTGCAAATTTGAGATCTGAATTTTCTCTGGGCCTTTCAGAAAAAAAAAAAAAAAGCTTCCCTATACGCACCAACATGACTGTAGGGACTGTGGGTTTTGGCTAACAATGGTCTGATCCGTTGAAGAATTAAAATCTCATTCACAGATGGCAAAAATATGACCAAAAAAAAGAGAAAGGAAAAGAAAAAGAAAGTAACATTCCTAGTCCATATGCAGCCTAACACCGTGCTTATCTTCACACCATTGATTCCAACATACACGCACTATTCAGAATGGGAACACATCAAATGTGCAAAAAAAAAAAAAAACCCTACCTAGAAAAGGAGACACGTTTTCACAAAATCCCTTCCATTTATTTGCATCTATAACTAAATAACAGATTTTTCAATACACCAGCACAGCAGGTAAGATGGGAAACGATGGAATAGCCTGAGGGGGTTCTTGAAATGAAAAGTGTCTTGGGTGGGCCCTACTTCCCACCCACTCACTCCACACACCTTCTATTTTCTTTGTGAATTTGTAATTTCTTCACATTTTCAGTTTGAGCATTGCTGAAAGAGACACCCAGCCACTACAACTAAAATAAATCAGGATGCTTTGAGCATCACCTCATGTGGACACAGCGTCGATGACAACAAACACACCGTGGTGTGTGTGTGTTTTCTGCAGCTGGCCTTTTTAGAAACATGGAATAAACTTGTTCGGGGTGCAACTTATGGGTAAATAGTCCTGCCATCTGTTCAAAAAGAACAGCTGTGTTAATGAATAAAATGAATCACATGAAGGCAGACTGTCTTTATGAAGTAGGTGACTTATGAAGGTAAGTGGACCAACTGATTTTTAAAAGTATAGACGACTGAACACAAAAATATGGACCACAGTATTATTTTTCTTCAACTTTACAATTCTGCACTTCGCTGTGACGGTCTACCAGATAAAATCCCCTTAAATTAATTGGAACTTGTCATAATATGACAAAATGTGAATGAGTTCAAGATGGATGACGACTTTCCCAAGGCACCGGTAATGAATTTTTGGGTACCGTTGGTTAAACACACTCATCCTGACTTACCAGACTTACCATTGTCGTACGCCAAGAACGTGGCTTCGTACATGTTGTTTTTGACGTACATGGACTCCCTGTCCAGCAAGGCCATGGTGGTAATCTGACCGTTGGTTCTGTTGATCTTCAGCCAGTTCGCCGGGTCGGAGAGCTTCGAGTACCTGTGCCGACAGACAGAAGGAACAGAAACACTTCAATCCCATTTAAAACAATAGGCATATATATATTCTACATCATGACTTTTTGCAGCTTGTCGTTGCTACAATAAAAAGCAACTCTAAAGCTTTTTATTTTATTTGTAGATCCAAAGTGGCTATTATCAGGTTGAATGCTCATTACCATAACAAGCCGCGGCAGCCGAGTGCCTTTGAAACGCGGCGGCGGCAAGGAGAGCGGAACATATGTTCGTCAAACTTATGAACGCGGCAGCTCATTAGCATCGGGAGCGAAGAAAAGTCCTGCGTCCATTTGTGGAAAGGCTCGTAAACGCCAGCCCAGCTCTGTGTGCCCGCACGGCGGCCGTCGTCGCCGCATTTACAAATCTCATTAACGCGGATAATAACCGCCAACAGCTGACCGGGAGCGGGGCCTAACGAGAAACGGTTAATCACGACTCTCGCCAGAGGGTCAGAGTGTGGCCATAACGACAAGAGACGGGGTTCAGAGAACGGAGGAAGGAAAAGAAAACGGGGTGAGACAGAGATCACAGTGGAGTTTATCTGTAAACATGGGCAGTGGGACATGACGGGCATGAAAAAGGGAGAGCTTAATTAAAAGGAGAGAGAATCGGAGGCTGACAGCAGTTAGCCAGTCAGAAAACCAACATCACCTCCAGCTGAAGCCCCATTGTTTCCTGAGCAAACGGAGCTGAAACCAGAACACTGTACTTCTTCTGTCTGACATTAAATCAGACTAAAACGCTTCTGTTTTAGGTCAGCTGAGATTACTATATTCATCACAGATGAAAAAAAAAAAAGATCATAACTAAGTGAATTTTAGAAGGTTTCTTTTTTTTAACTGTCCTTGCAAAGTTTCTTAACAGTGCTTCATACGACTTGGGTGAATTTTTGGTGTCCTTCCATACGGTTCACTTGAGTGTGTCTCATTCCTCTGGGCAGAACGAGTGTAACCGAGTCAGGTTGGTGGGCTGCTTTTCTCACACACACACACACACACACACACACACACACACACACACACCTTTCCCTGCTCGGTTTCTTACTGAGTGTTATGATTTGAGATTAGTGAAGGCCAATGCGAAACATTAACTTTGTGGCGTTTAAGTCATGTTGCAACTCATTCTGAGGTATCATCAGAGTCATTGTCCATTTGACCCATTTTGACCCAAGCTTGGCTGATGTCTTCAGATGTTTCAAAGTTTCTAGAGTTATTGTTTTTATGACACCATCTATTTATAGAAGTGCACAAGTTTTGCAGAATTACTGCCTGCAGCATTACAATGCCGCCCCATAGGTATGTTGTTCTCAGATAAAACCCTCAAAATCAGCTTCACCAGAACCACAAGATATTAACATCTTTGTGTCCGTGTGAATTTGCAAACTATAACTTGGCTTCTTCCTTGCAGAGCGGCCTTTCGGCCCGCGCCAGCAGAGGACTTGTGTCCTCTGTCCTGCTAGCTGGAGCCTGCGTTTTTCCATCAGGCCCTTCTTGTTTATGTTCTGGGGTTAAAAGGCACATGTTGAATAAAATCAGTGAATCTCCAGGACACAGAACCATTCCCCTTCCAGGACTCATGACGGCTGGACATTCCCATCATGTTTGTGCTTGTGTGTAATTGTTTGAGCAGATGAACCTGGCCCATTCAAGAACTGAAAAACTGAAAGAAGTATGAACGAACTTCCGGAGAGCCACCATTTTCTTTCACTCTCGCCATGATGTCGCACAAGTGAGAAGTCATTCAAGCCAGTCGTTGTCTTATATCCATTTCACTAAAATGCTGTGAATTAACCAATTAAAAGCTTTCACAGCCATGACATCCTCTTTTTTTTGCATTCCCAAATTGTTTAAAAGCGTAGAAGTCTTAGTGCACCTGAACTTCAGAATCTGAGGAAAGCAATAAAAACGTCTCGAAATCTCTTATTATTCTGGCGTTTAGTAAATTAAACTGTCAGACGGTAAGAAACAGTACATGCACTTCTAACTATACATAAACACATGAAAAGAGAAATAATTCTCCTTGTAAGAACTTGTCGCGCTGTTGCCCAGCAGGTGAGGGTTTTGCTCTTTGTGCAGCGGCTCCTGGCGCGCTCGTCTCCTCCCTCTGCCAGCAAGGTGTCACCCCCCCGCTACACTTATTTGCAGCCGACACGACTAAATGTCGTACCGCATCTCCGAGGACTTTGTTGTTAATTTTACAGAAAGTTCAACCCTAATCTTTCGCTGTGGTTCCCGGAGATCTTCACAGTGAAAGATTCTGTCCACTTTTAAATATCCAAGATTAACTAACAATAGAAACATATAGGAAGTACTTGGATTTACTGTACTGCTTAGAAAGAATCTCAATCATAGGAAGCAAGATCTTGGGATCTTTATTTTTTATTTTTTAACACACACACTTTAATCTTTTCTTTTGTGACTGTGGATTTTACTGTGATCAACCAACACAAAGCACAGCATAAGCGCGAAGTGGAAGGAAAACGACGAAAAGTTTTCTGAATGTTTCCCGAAACAAAAGTCTGAAAAGTGTGATGTGCATCATGTCCAGCTCTCCCCCATAACTCACACACTAAATCAGTAAAATCCTGTTTTCCATGATAAGACATGGTGGTTGTTGCATCATGCTATGAGGGATACCTTTTCAACTGTAATGACACATTGCAAGTGCAAATGTAATAAAAAAACATGCAATATTTCTCTTCCACTTCAGTTATGGAATGCTTTGTTTGGATGGATTACCTATAATTTAGCTTGTCGCAACACGCAGTTGATTAATTTATCTCATGATGAATCAAAAATAACTTGATCATTTTTAATCTGCTGATTAATACTTTTTCAAAGTACAATTCTGTTTACAGAGACTCCACAATCCATTTTATTCATACGTTTGGTTGTAAGTGGTTTTCATTCCCGTTTTATTTATAGTTTTTGGTTCTTGTCGTCTTTTATTTCCGATATTTAATATGTCTTCCAATTCCAGTGTTCAAGTGTTCTTTACAAAATTAAAGTTTGTTGGACTTTTTAATTCAATTCAAGTCAATTCAAAAATACTTTATTGATGTCAATGGGATATTAAATGTTGTTGTAACTCATATTAATTCAAACTTTTAAAATTTGTAAGGCTGAACTTGATAATATGTCATCATCAAGATTTCATCAGTACATTAGAACAATTTTATCGTTTATCACAGTAATTTCTGGGTCAATTTATCGTCCAGAGAAATTTGTTATTGTGACAGGCCTGCCTATAACCCTGATAAATCATGGTAGTTAAGTTGTGAAAAAAAAATAAAGGGGTATAAATATTTCTGAAATGGACCGCTTGTCCAACGGCCTGCCAGCTTCCAGCTCAGATCTCTACCATCCGAATAATCTTCATCATGATCTCGCATCCCAATCAAGTGTCCTCGCTTTGGAGAGGCTAATAATCAACACTTATAAGGAACACATAACGACACGCACGCAAACCCACATTTACTCATCCTCGCCGCCTCTTAAATCCCATCAAACAGTAAAATCAGCTGGCAAACAGTCTTGGCTTCACATAATCTTGTTTTCTCTTTCCTCCAGAGAGAGAGAGCAAGAGCGAGAGAGAGAGTGAACAAAAAGACAAGAAATTCAGAAAAGCATAAAACAGCCAAAGCTGGCTCCTCTCCCATCCTCGACGCAGGGCTTTCAGTCATGCTCTGCGGGTACTCGCCTGCATGTCGACGGTGTGCATCTAGCAGCCGGTGTTTGTGCATTTCTGTGTCTTTTGTGCACAGGGGTTCAAGCGAGGCTGCTGAAAGGGAATACGGGAGTAGAGACCGTGCCGCCATGAGCTGAGCGACTGCTGGAAAAACTCCCGAGGAGGAAAAAGCAGCTCTGAGCTCACATCAATGAGAGACGCACCGACCGACAGAAAGGAAAATGACGGGGGTCAACGGGGAGGGAGTAGAGGAAGGATAGAGAGTGCAGCGTATGAAAAGTGACTTCTTTCAAAGGGCAAATGAGCTCAGGCCGTTTGCATAAAGGAGTAGACGGAGGATATTCTCACGCATGAGTACGCCTCTTTCTTTCACCTCTCTTTTGTCAATTCGGTAACATTTCCGCCAGGTTTCGCCGCGGACACGGCTGCCTCCCTGACATTAAGAAAAATCCATCTGGTGCCGGCAGCGGAGTGGAAGGGCTACGCCGGACTTCGGGGGGGCACGTGGGAGTTTCCGCCGCAGAGGGGTCGATGCTGGGATGGCACCGTCCCTGCCGCGTGTCGTCCCGGCTGCGACGGCACGGATCGATGAGGAGGAAATGCGGGCGTTCCGGGCCTCCCCTGTCCAGCTCGTTGCAGAGCGACCTCTTCACACCGGCTGCTTGGCAACTGAACGGGAGGGGGAGATAACCGGGACGTGGGTAGGAGAGATCAGCGGAAAATGTCGCTTCAGAGGCGTAAGCTGTGAAGAAAGCTTTCAGTGCCGAGTAAACGCCTGCGAAGCTCAATATTTTGTGCGCCGCGATATGGGAAGTGCACAAAATATTGGAAATGTTTAACTACAAATGAATTCCACGCTTCAGGCCTATCCCGGCGCCTTGCTTGAGCGAGTGCTTTAATAGAAAAGCCAATAGTGGACGTGGATTTCCCCCAACGGCCAGAAATGTACGTTTCAAACGGCTGTCACGGACGCAGTCAGGACATTAGCTTCTACACTAGCGCTTACAAAGAGGTGCACTCGCTTCCAGTTTGAGAGACTTTTCTTTGTTCTAGTGACATGGTCTGGCTCAATATGGACCCGTTTTAAGGACCGGATTTCTGTTTGGTCTTTGAATGCTTTTCAATTCATTCTGGAAATGATTTATTTTATTATTAGACCTTCATTTCACCAGATAAAACCCCTCTGAGATCAGGTCAACCTGACTGAGAAAGGCAGCGACCCACGTCATAATGGACAAGAGAAGTCGGCAACGAAAACAAAAATGTACCTGTCGGCTGTCTTGGAGTGACCAAGACATCTGGGTCAAACACAACTAATGTAATGTTCAATCAAAATTGAACAATGACATGTTTTCCTGGCATTGTGGAGCTCTGACATGGAGACATATGCAGTTGATTCAGGCTGCAGGAGAGTGAGCGAAAGCAAGACTTCTACAGAAAACAGGAAGGCTGATGGTATTACAGTAAAGTTTCTTTGCAAAGATATTGCTAGTCTCAACCGCAAATACAGGATGCCAACAATGTGATCTGCACTATCTGCCTGAAGCAGCTCCCATTGGTGAAATAGTTTTTTACAAGGCTTTACTTGGACTCAAGCTGACCTACATTTCTGCTAAAGTTGCAGAGAGAAATATTTACCCTCATAGTTTTTTTGTTTGTTTTTTTTTTCACACAACTTGGCGGTTGTTTCTGCCTCTTTTGCTCGGACAGAATTGGGTAAGTCCACTCTGTTCCATCTTTTTGGAACTTACTGCAAGAAACTTTGAGATTGACTGAATTAGTGCTTTAACATCCAAACTAAAAGTTCTTGAGGCCGATTCAGCGACATAGCCTGTCATTTTCTTTTAGCTGTGTAACTTTTTGTGTTGCTGCTTCTTGGTCAGGAGGATTCGATTGAAAATGAGGTTTTTAATCTCAATTGGTTATTTTTATCCTGGTAAAATAGAAGGAAAAAAGACAATTTAACATGTCACCTTGTTTTGTTTTCTTTCTGTCTTTGACATGTCACATGCTTCTAAAAGAAGGTGCCGCTCACTGCAAGATGGCTGGAAAAAAAGTGTTTCGAATGTCCGTGGAGAGATCAAAACCGGAAATTCAAAACGTGCAAAGATTTTTATTTTTATTTTTCCGACCCGTACCTGACGATCTGGTGGATGAAGTGGTCGGGGTCCTGAGCTGCGAACACCGTGAGCGTGGTCCCCGCCGGCACGCCCTCCTCGAAACGGATCGTCTTAGGGTTGACGGGGAAGACGGGCGGCTCGTTCACATCCTGGACAGAGATGGTGACCCCCGCCGTGGACTGAAGCGAGGACTGGATGCCACTCGCCAGGTGGGCCTGATTGGACACCACCACCGTCAGCATGAAGGCGCGGTTCATCTCGAAATCCACCGGCTGCAAAGTGACGGCATCGTGTGAGACGGTCGATGGCGACGGGACAAATCGGGACTGCATGCAGCTTTGGTTTTACCTTGACCACCGTGAGCATCCCCTCGTTCGTGATGGGATTTGTGCGGATGGTGAAGTGTCCCGACGGATCGCCGCTGACGATTCGATAGACCGCGTTCCAGTTGGGGCTGTGGGGCTGATCCCGGTCCACCACCGTCAGGTTGGTTACCACGACGTTCACCTTGTTCTCTGGCACCTCACCGGAAAACTGCACAGAGGAGGAAGGAAATGGACGGGCAGGAGAGAAAAACATTAAGATGATGTCGGCATAGAAGTTTGACCGTTTGCTAATAATCTGACTTATTGACTTTTGACGCATTCGCTTGCGCTGTCATCCATCTTTAGAGGATTTTGCATAATTGCTGCCCACAGAAGCACGAACCCAAAGCGGTCGCAGTGCAAATCGGATATTAGAAAACAAGGGGGAAAAAAAGAGGAAAACCCAGCGCATTTGTCCAAATGTGGATAATACAAAATGCTATCTTCCATTATGCTAATGCGGCGCTTTATTCTGCACCATATCTGCTCAGATGCAACTCTTTAATTGAACAAATGGATTTTTCAATTAAGTGTTTACCCATTTAATTTGGATTTTGTGCATGAAGCAAATCCAGGTCTTAATAAGTAATTAGATAAGTGCTGTGATTAAGACATCAGTAGGAATAATCTCTGGCTAATGATCTTCATTATATTGCAATCTTAGACAACTCTCCTATAAACTGGCTTGTGGAGGAAGCTCTGTGACAGCTGGAGAGCCCGAAGAGGAATTTACAGCACAGTGGGAAGTATTTATCTAGATGTGAAGGGACGGGCACTCAAAGGGAGACGTGTGAAGTCTAAACTCTCAATCGAGTTTTTCCCATTGGACATTTGAACTGATTTTATTTAGAATTAGTGACTAAAGCCTACATGACTTCTTTTCCTCTCCTCCTCTTCTGATTTAACTTGCCTCCCATTCTCCTGGTTAATTTAGTCCTTCGGCTCAGCCTTCACAAACCGAACCGTTTGATTTGGTCATGCCGAGCCGGAACGTGCAGAAGATCGGCCTTTTGAGGACAGACATCAGACATCGCCGGGTTTTATTAGAGACATAAGGACAAATTGACAAAGGGATTCGGGGATGGCTAACCACAACCACTCAGGTTCTCAAACTTCAAACACTTTGGGGCTGACACACATGGCCCGCATTTTAGTAAGGTAGATGCAAACACAAAATGCATTCTTTTAAAGAGTGCCTGCTAAAAGATGGTGGCAATTTTTAATGTAGGGAGAGAAGAAAATTAGGGGAAAAAAACCTGCTGCACTGTTTGCTTCATAAAAAACTTAAACTTTTTATTTTGACAATGTATTTCAGATTAGCACTGAATATGTACATACCTTTCATGTAATAGTTTTGCTGTCTGTAATATAGTCACCTTTTTAAAATAATGACCTAAGAAATTTTTTTTACCTAAAGTGATTTTGGCAATAAATAAATACATAAAATCCCCACCCTTTTTTTTTTTTTTTTTTTTTTTTTTTACAAAAAGATGATTTATGTACAAATTAGAAATACATACTTTTGACAAATAAAAATATGACTTAGGCCATTATTATAGGAAGGTGACAATATTTCATCCTCAGTCAGTGATTTTTATTTTCAAATAAATCAGTGAGGAAACATTCAATTCATCGTTTACAGTCTGTTTTAAAAATTTAAATTCAGTTTTAAATTGCTGCTGTGATTCTTCTCTGGCAGCTTTTTGATGATTTGCAACGACCATGACGAAGGCCGCCAGCCAAAACGCCACGGTCTACCGCTAAAGATGTTCCCTAAAGCTTCAAATGTTGCTGGAGTCCTCATTTCATTTCACCTCACCAGAACCTTTGACCCTCTCTGTGAACTTTGGGCGTTGATGAAGCCAGAAACATTTGGATCACCGTGGCGATGGGAAATGTTCTTCAGGTGACAAAAGCCTGACTTTATTATTGTCTTTATGTGTCTCTGAAAGGGCAGGTCTCGGTACTGAGGTGAGCACTGAAACCGGACTGAGAGACACGTTTGGTCGTAGTTAGGACAGCGTTTAGCTGTCAGAGCAGTTAGGTCAATAATCTTACTGATGAATGAAAAGTTGGAGATTGGGCTGGAAAAGTCCAGTAGCATCTCGTCCAGATTCCTCATTTTCAGCAGTTTTTTTTTTTTTTGTTTTTTTTTTTAGATTTTATTGGATTTTCACATTTTCAACCCTTGTGCTTCGTTTTGTGCGTTTGATTAGATCAGATTGGCTAAAAAACATTGTGATTATCACCATTCATAACACGACAAACAAGTAATAACAGTACTTTCAGACCAATGCTGTTTGCCTTTATGTTTCTTTTTTTTGTCAAATTAGAAGTAATATATTAGCTTGGTTTACAAGCAGTCCAGGAATTTTGCCTAAATAACATGCATATACTTTCTCTCCCCCCTCCACCAGAAACCAATTAAATCTTCTTGAGTCTGTAAGGAAAAAATAAAAAAAAAAAAAATTCACTGAACTGTTCCAGGTCTCGTTGTTTGTGTGGGAAGCAAAAGCCAGTTACAGAAAATGACGAAGTAGTGGAAAAAGCAAACAAAAACAGGGTTTTTATTCATTTTTACTCATTAGCATATCTGAGTCACACACCAGGATAACGTAAACCGGCCTTTGAGTAACAACCTTGTTAGTTTGTTGAGGATACACAACGCTTTTGTTTGTTTTTTCCACTTTGTTAGGTTACAATCACAAACTTTAATGTATTTTATTAGTATTTTATGTGAGACCCACGCAAGTTAGCTTATATTGATGAAGCGGGAAGACAATTATACATAGTTTCCTGCATTTTCCTCTCGTCTTTCAGTAGAATCAATGTAAAGGATTATCTGGGTCTGGGTGTAGTGATGGACTCAGACCCGAACCTTCAGATACACATAAAGACAATTAGAAAGTCGGCCTTCTGTCACCGGAAGAACATTTCCAGGATTAAAGGACTGATGTCCTGGAAAGACCGCGGTTCTCTTTTCAAAACTAATAGCACTTTTTGGACAATGTTTACCTCTCCATGCATCACAATGGAACAGCACTGCAGGTCTGCATTAGAGACCAGCTGCTGCATCCTAAGCGCACAAAGGAGCATCATCATAGGTCCTTCCCGCAATTAGCAGCTGTTAGGCTTTATAGCTGTCTAACAACAGAATAAGCTTTTCCTCCTAGTCCTTCTATATTGCTTTGAAAATACTTTTTTTTGTTTTGCACAAACACACAAACTAGTTTTTTTTGTTTTTCTTTATCCTATTGGATATGTGAGTTACTTAGAATCAGAACAGTGTAGCTTTTCTTATTGTTTATTTTCCTTGTTTTATTTTAAGTTCTAAAAATCCCTTCATTCTGTTCATTTCCATGTTCATCGTTGTCAGAAGGGCGCTGCCTCATGAATTTACTCCCCTGCGTTTAGTTTCTCAGTTTGTTGTTGCAGTCTGTTCTGTTCTGTGGGATTTCGTTCTCTTCCATAAACGTTTGTGTTTTCCATTTGGACTCCAGTTTCTCCGGCTCTCTGTTCGGCTCCTTTCGCGTTAATCAGTCTCTCTCCCTCAGGTTTCCCCACTTGTGTTCAGTCGCAGCTGTTCCTTATCACCTCCGATTAGTTCCTCTGGTGCTCTCGTCATTTATCCACCTCTGACTCAGCGTTTAAACTCTTCTTGTTTTTTTTTTTTACTGTTCGTTTCTGGATTCTTTCATTACTCGGCCAACGCGCTTCGTGACCCGTAGATTCTACTGCACGTTTTCGTACACGGCCCTGCGCTTTGGTCCGTTCTTAAACCCTGACTTGACAATGATTATTATTTACAGTTTGTAGTTTGCTTTTTTGCATTTGAGGCTTTTCACGGGTGTTTGTGTGCCGTCCATTTTCCCGCCACTCTGCTGCTGATTCATTTAATTTCCACACGGCGGGACGGATGATGGAAGTACTCCGCTCTGATCTATTCTTACCCATCTCCTCAAATTCATCCCTGAACCGTCAACTGCGTTCCTTGTTTCTGAAATGCCATTTGTTTGGTATTATTCTCCAACAAACCTCTGAGACCTTCACAGGAAAGCTGGATTTACACCGAAACTACAAGTAGATGAGCTCTGTTCAATAGTCAGGTGAAGGCTTGTGGTTACCCTGCATTAAAAAAAACAACAAAAAAAACACACATCCTTTTCCTTCCACTGTAGAGTTAGCCTTTAGCTGTACTGGTAGTACACAACATGCCGGCAAAATGCAGGCGGGGATCCGAGTGTCCGACCCTGACACACACACACGCATGTTTGCGTTGCTATCTTTGTGGGGACTTTCCATTGACTTCCATTCATTTCTACAGCCTAAACCTTACCTTTACCCTTTTCCTAACCCTAACCATCACATACCTAACCCTAGCCCTAACCAAAACTCAATTCATACCTTAGTCCTAACTCTGACCCCTGACCCAAAAACAGGGTTTCCCCTTGTGGGGACCAGGCTCCGGTCCCTGCTCCGGTCCCCACAAGGAGCAACTGGTCCCCACAATGTAGTATATGTCAGGAAAATCGTCCCCACAAGGTATTACAAACAAACACACACAAACACACGCACGCATACACACACACACTCACTCGCTCGCTTTGCAGTAAGCGCTGTGGTGCTTCTGTTTGAAATCTCTGACATCCAGCTCACGATGGGCGCCCACAAGAGTACAGTAGCTCTAACGGACCTGTCAGCATTTGATTCTACTTCATCACCCGGAAGGTAACAAAGAGCGGGGAGAAAAAATAAAGAAGGAAAGTGACAGATGCTCCCGTTCAAAAGCCTCCACGCAAACGTTTGTGCTCCAAGAAAGCCCGGCCTCCGAATGCTGCTTCGTCATCAGAACCAATCGCCGTCTTCTAGTAATTCTCGAAGCAGCTGCAACGTGCTGCGCTGCTGGAGGAAAAGCAGACGTGTCGGGGACGGACGGAGGCCAGACGCCTGCAGACAAACCGGGCAGAGGCTGAGCAAGCAGGCGGAAGGACGGACGAAGGAAAAAAGCCCAACTTCATCAGCACCTTTTAGTTTCCCCCCATATGTTGCGTGTTGCACAGTGTTCCTGAGTTGCAAGTATTTGTTCTCAGCCTGCTTTCCCACATCACCCATCCAGGTTTTTCAGTGCATTCCCACATTTAATTGGCCTCTCCCAGAAACAGCTAAGTTTGCTGTTTTTATGCCGAGAACACAAAATATATCTGCATACAGAATTTAAGAGTTTGGAGGCAACTGTAGACACGACACCCACCGAGTCTGTTTCCACCTCTGGTACAATGTGTGTACGAGATTCTCATAACCAAACGGTTGCCATGGAGAGCCAATCTGAAGATCAACACACATCTGTAGAATGACACGTGTACTTTTGTCTTTCCGGTTTTTGATAAGGTAAAACTGCTGCTCTGTCATTTCATATCTGGTGAAACAGAAGGTTGTGAATTATGAATTAATTTGACAAATTTTAAAAAAGTATAAATGACAAGAAATGATTCGGCGGCATCGGTTTTAAAGAAATTATTTCCAGTTGGAGGAAATATGAGACAAAAAAATGCAAAAAATAAAGAAATGTAATAATTTTTTTAAATCATGAGTTTTACATAAATAAAAAAAAAAAAGAAGTTAATTTCCGCCTGCAAAATATTCAGAAATTCTGAGATTAGTCTCAGAAATTCTTAAGAAAAAAACTTGGAAACTTCAGAGTCTCAAAAGTGGATTATTTTTCCCCTTTTTTACTTACAAACCAAAAAAGAAAAAAAATTTCCATTAGTGGATCATTTTAGACATTTTAAACTCAGGAATGTCAAAGTTTTTTTCCTGAAAAAGTCTGAGATTAATCTCTTTGCAAGCAAATTTCTGACTTCAAGCTCAGTTTTTTGGTGGAAATTTAATCTTTTTTTAATTTTCCATTCACAGTGGACGTCGTGTGCCGTCCTAAATCCGTTTTCTTGATCACAAACTGTCAGTTAAAATAATTTGTTGAACTGTCATGTTCTTTGCTCGTCTTTCTGATGTACCAGCTGTTAAATTTATCCAGCTGCTTTGCTCTTCAAGCTAGCATAACAATCACTAAATGGAAAAGTTTCTGTCGAGAAAAAGGCGTCAGAATCCATCCGGTGACCTGCTGAGAACCCAGAAGGCCCGAGGCAGCGTTTAGGCTAAACAAACAGAATAATTGTTGAATAGTGAAAACAAAAGCGAGGCAAAAAAAAAAAAAAAAAAACATTCTAAAAGTCAATCTTTTCTCATATATTTTGACTTACCGTCCTGACTGTCAGTTCTGGCGGGTTGTCGTTGATGTCGGTGATGGATATGAGCGCCGTGGCCGTGTTGGAGAGCCCAAAGTTCAGGTTGCCCTCCATGTCCGTGGCCTGGACGATAATGGTGTACTGCGACACTTTCTGTGGACAGAAACGGAGAGATTGTGGTCAACAATCGGCTGATCCGGCAACAAACAGACAGCGGGGTACAAAAAGGGGAAAAAGTAAAAATCGTCCACGAGACGCTGATCTCCAAAAGACAAATGAACAGTTGATCTGCGGATCCAGCGCGACTCCCGGCCTGGAATTGGCACGCGAGATAATCCTTTCGTTCATGAACCGGCCGCTCACTGGAACAACTGTGTAAATGGAGCGAGCTCGCCCGCTCGATTCCTCACAGTAAATGGCACAATGAACAAAGACAAACAGACACACAAAGTTTAAGAGAGGCAACAATGAGCTGGTTAACAGGCCCATTCGTTACTGTCGAAAAGTCTCGGCGTTCTGCTGCGGGAGCAGACCCGGGTCATCACTCACTCTAATGAAGGTGCCGCCACTTTAAGATGCACAGGAAAAGCTTTGGCTAATGGAAGGAGGTGAAAGGGCTTTATTTAGTCCAGTGACTGTGAGGAGGAGCAGCGGTGATAGAGCAGAGCCGCACTGAGGGACGCAGGGTAATGTCAGACTCACGTCAGCCGTTTCTGGCATCTATTGATAGAGATGACAGCGCATGACATAATTTATACTAATTAAAAAAAAGGAAAAGGAAACAACAGCTAAATCCCTTTCAAGAAGTGGTCAAAGGTATGTTGCAGTTCTTTATCAGTTTCAGTTTCTTTATTATTTATTTATTTTATCTTACATTCCTAACTGCACTGACTGAACAAATTGAAGTTGTGTTCATTTTATATGTTTGACCAAGCTTGTGAAGATACTGGTGTATTCAAGTGTGCTGCACAGAGTTATCAAATACATTTGTAATTCAGTACATTTATATCTGCATAAAAAACAAAGGAACAACAAAATAGTTTTTAAGTAATTTTGGTATCGGCCGATACTAAACATCGGGTATCTGTATGAGTATCGCAAGTGAAAAAAGTGGATCAGTGCGTCTCTACGGAGCAGCGTGACTTTATGTAATTACAGAGTTTATTGTGCCAGTAGCTGGTATGAGTTACGTCAACAATCGCTTTTGAATTGAATTTGCAGAAAGTTACAAAAACAAAGACGCGCACGGCCGGTTCATGTGGCGGTTCAGGATGTACCTGGAGAAAGGCAGCTAACCCCCCCACACAGCCAACCACCAGAACCAGCCTCAGCAGACAGTTAAAGTCAATGAACAGATGACCGGATACCAGAACGACCCAACAGGACTGCAGCCTCTTCTTCTGGCGGCACAAATTAGCAGTACTCATAGCAGCAGCAGAAGGGCAAAGTCTTCCTTCTGCACAGCTGACTTTAACAACTGTGGTGAACACAGACATCGTCTCAGACGTGATCTTTCACCTGCTGTAGCTGTTGCCCTCAGGTCATTCTCAAAAACATCATTACAGCCGTACACAGAACAGCTCTCCTCCACACAGACAGCGTCTCTCCATCATCAGAGTGAGGGAGCACAAGACTTCAGGGTTTGACCGGCCTCACGTAAGCGTTCCAGCCGCTGGTAGAACCTATCAAAATTTATCACATTTCTCGAACCGAGAAGTTAAGAAAGTTGAATAATTTGGTGATGACTGAAATGAGACTTCAAACCGAGGAAGAGGAAGAGGAAGAGGAAGAAACCCTGAGGAATGTGTTTGGGTTGGTCAGTCTATCTCTTTTCTCTTAAGGCTGAATCTTAGAAAAAAACCGAAGGCCTTTCCACTGGGGCTTTTGTGGAGTCCAGTAAACTCAACATGGCCATTAACTATTAATTAGTCAAGTAGTAACAAAGTTAATCATTTCAGAGGTTTGCTGTTTTTGCTCTTTGTTTTGTTCCTTCAATTTATAATACAGAGATGCTACTAAATACAGCTCTGGAAAAAAAAAAAAGAAAAAAAAAAGAGAGCCCTTAAACTGACCAGTTTCTCTGATTTTACTCTTTATAGGTGTATGTTTGAGTAAAATGAACTTTGTTCTTTTCTTCTATGAACTACTGACAACATGTCTCTGAAATTCCAAGCAAAACTTTATTTATTTGCAGAAAATGAGAAACGGTCAAAATAATGACGGATACAGTGCCTCAAATAATGCAAAGAAAACAAGTTCATATTCATATAGAAACAACAAAGCTATCGTTCATTCTAATAAGAAATAATTCATTCTAATAAGAACAATTCGACGTTCTATCTTCGTTTTCTGCCGCAACTCTTTCAGTCGAGGCTTTTTGTCCTTTATAGTGACATCTATTGTTCCAAATGAGAACTGCAGCGTGCCTGAAGATGGGGTTGTGATAGGCAGCATTATACATAATCTGTGCTGATGCCAGAATTAGCTAACGGTAGACCCTACGCCGGGGCGTTCAGCGGCAGCACGGCGGAGCCCCAGCATGAAGAAACACGACATGCTGAACTCTGTTTAAATGCGGCTGAATCAAAAGGAAGAGATAACATAAAGGCAGAGCGTCCCTGCAGACTGGCTCTGTCCGTGGTACTGAAAGTTCACGCTGTACTCAGATCCAACCACCCTCTAAGTCAGTGTGTGTGTGTGTGTGTGTGTGTGTGTGCTTCCACCCTGGCCGTATATAAGCCTCCCTGCTTTGTGGGTTCTTTTTATTCCTATAAATCCATATGGCTTCATTCTGCCAGAGAAGAGAAAGGGGGAGAGAGAGAGAGAATGGAAATCAAGGACGGCCCAACCATTCACTCTGTGGGACCTGCCTCCCTTGTTCAAACATCCACAATGAATCTTACAGCGACGGTCTAAACGTCTGTTTGTTGCGGCGCTGGCTTCAGCACATTCATCCGCGCTCTCTAATGACTCGAAGTCCAGTGGCACTTGTGATTTCTTAAAGGAACAGGAACGAGGCTGAACAGAGGCGTGGTGAGCCACACATTCGGGAGATAACGCTTCCCATGTTTAGTCTTTTTCTTCTCCCCTTCTTTCTTCTCCCTCTGGTTTATCGTGCTCTTTGGTAACACATTCTGAGCTTCTTTCGATCTCCTCCCATGTTTTTTTTATTTATTTTTTTTTATTTTTATCACATCTTGGCTGATCATGTCATTTCTCAGCCTCTCTCTTTTCCTCTCTCCCTCTTTCTTTTTAAGACTAGAAGGAAGCGGCTGATTGGGAGATAAGTCCGGTCAAATCCCGCGTTCGGCCGTGGCCATTCTGCGTCTCTCCGAGTCGTTATGAAGTGCGCCGACGTGTTAATTTGCACCAAACCAGCGCTATTAATGAAAACTCAATACTGGCTGCCCTTTATTAGATTCATAATGAAATATCAATACCATCTCGCCTCATCCAGGGCCTCGGTAAACAGACATCCCCCCCCCCCTCTGACTGAATGCGTCTCACTGCAGACTCATTGAGATCCAGTTGCATGCATCGGTCTTGAAATAGCAGCAGATGGTTATGAGAAGCTAACAGGCTGGAGCTTTTTGACGGATGCGTCACATTCCTCAGGTCAGGGGAAGAGAAGCTGAGCCGGTAGGTGGTGCTAACGCTCGGTGGGGGGTTGGACGACGGGGGGTCCGTGCCATCCTGCAGGGTTATATCACCCATCTGAGAGTAGTTACAAGTTTACGGCCCTCCGATTGCACACATATGCATCCATTAACCCTGCGGTGAGTGGGAACAGGTGGGACTCAGACATGTAAAAGCACTCGGCCGGCGTGTGTTTATGTGCAGCGAGCGAGCGCGCCGCGGGAGCACTCTCCTGTCCAAGCAGGAACCCTCTAATGAGAACAGCAGAAGTGCTGAACAGGAAAAAAAAATCTCCCCCTCAGATTAAAGTCCAGCACTGGCAGAAGACGCAGCTGCTTGTCTCGCAACCAAATAGGCCGACAGGCCACACCAAACTCAATCTGCACGAGCAAGGAGCCATCAGAGACCGGAGAAACATCCGCACATCTGCCGACCATAAAGGCCTCCATTTCTTTTTTTTCTTTTTTTTTTTTTGCCCCATCGCACGGCCCAAATTAGGCAGCCCGCCGTTCAGGACACGGAACACAAATACTGGGAAATGGCTTAAAGTTTCCAACGTTGACTCCTCAAATTGCCCAACAGAGCAGCTGTCAGGTGAGGTGGAACGAGCGGGGCGTTCTTAATACGCAAACGAAAGATGAGACTGTGTTAACCAAAATAGAGCGGGACTTAAAGCTACAGTGTGCAACTTTTATGAAAAACAACAACAACAACAAAAAGTCTTTTACAAATTTTATAAAACTGGCGCAATGTCGTGACAGTTTGTTATGAGATAAAAACAAATAAATAAATTTACTTAATCTCCTTTTGCTGTCTGAAGAAATGCACCCTTGGTCAAAATCAACCAATCAGAGCCTGGAGGAGGGTCTTAGAGTTGTCAATCATGCTCATGTAAGCATTGCTAAATGTGCTAATGAAGAAAACCGTTTATCCGCCGTCATCGGTGGCTATGCTAACTAGCCAGAACATTTAGCCAGCTGTAAATGAACCAGCTGCAGCGCAGCTTTGCTTGACTGACAGCGCTCAGTCCCTCCTCCTCCTGGCTCTGATTGGTAGCTTCTGACCAATCAGTGTATTTCTACAGTTGGCACCAGGAGAAGGTAGAGGAGAGGAGCTTTATAAAAGTTACATACTCCTGATTTAATGCTGATGTGAGCTGGTGAAGTGTGGCTCCGTGGCAGCAAGACGTGGACAGGTGAGTGAATTATCTCAACGTCGTGCGGTTCTGTACAGAACCACTCGGGGAGTGGAGGCCAGATGAGTGAGGCTTGCTGCTGTCTCAACTCGGCTGAGTTGTGATCTGGCTTGCTGGGCGCCCACCGACCACGCTCATTGGCTTGTCACTAGTAATCTGTGTCAAACAGTCCCGGCTCCCTCCTTCCCTTCCCTCTGTCCACTCCAGTGAGTCGCTGACCCCGTCGCCCCCAGTCTCGCTGTGATCGCTTAAAGCAGTGTTCACAATTTAAACCCATTTAATCACATTTTTAATAACCATAAAACAAGCCTGGGCGTGAAGA